TGATAAAATAACTTATCAGCATCAACTATATCTAATCTTAAACTCCATCAAACATAAAAGAAACAGGTAGAGAGAGTAAAAGAAAAAGAAACATAGTAAAGAGAGAGAAACGAAACAAGAAAAAAATATCAGACTGTTCTTAATTTTTTGCGGAGACCAAAGAGTGGAGAGGATATCAGATTATCGGAAAGGGTTGGCGAACACGAAGAAAAGAGAGTGAGACGAAAAAGCCATGGTCCGATGACGGAGTGGTCCGACGATTGGCGACAGTGACCGGTGGGGAAGACGCAGTTGGGCAACAGGTGGCAGCATTACTCCGGTGAGATTTGGACGTTTCCCGCCGTCAAAATTTCTGGTTCTTTATTGTTTTCTTAAACCCAAATCTTTGAGGTAAGAATTTTGTATCTCTAACTAGATTTTTGGTTTTACTTTTTAGAATTTAAGAGATAGTTTCTTAACTTAATTAGTTTCCTAATGTCATGCGGTTTTGATTATGTCAATGATTCTTTTGATTTTATCAATGATTTTCGGATGATTTTATCACTTAATATGTAAAGCGAAATTTTCCAAAAAAAAAAATTACACTACTGGAAAAAAAAATTTGAGGGATATCTCGGGCTACCCCGGGATCTTCATTAGATCCGCCCATGGAAGTAATCTACCTTCTTGTGGCCCCATCTCGCTCTGTAAGTCTCCAAGATCTAACATTTAAGACTTTTTCATGCTAGATCTAGGTTTTTAGTTGTGTATATAGCATTTTGGTCCCAAAGTCTTGATGATCTTGAAGTTTCAGGAACTCCAGAACTTGGTGCTGATGTTTTTATGCTTCTAAACCCTTCATGATAGATAAAAAGGCCATGTATGTGCTCTCCTTGAGCCATGCAGTTGGATTTGGCATTTCAAGTAGGTTTATGGACTTAAGGTTTAGTTTTATGGGTGATTGAGCCATGGTTATGGATAAAGTTGGAAATTTTATGCATTAAGACCATCAGCATATTCATATTTGAAAAATTAGACCTATGCACTTACAAGATTAAGTCTTTAAGGAGAAGGTTGTTAAGCCCGTTTGCACGGTGTGACAAGCCTGGGATCGCGACGCGATCTTTAGGCTGATTCACGATTATTTTATCACGTAGTGTTTCGCAGTGCATCTGGTTAATGGTCATTGAACGACCGTTAACTTTGATAGTTTGATTTTTGACTTTTGTTCAAACTTTGAGGAATTAGTTGTTGACTAGTGATGACCTCCGATTTTACCTTATATGGTCATGTTGCTAATTCTTCGTGTAGCGAGTGCGTGACTGTTCAACTTATTGATTTAAGTGAGTTATATCACTATACTATGTGTTACAGTATGTATCCCCTGTAGTATGTTGTAGTGTAGATACATTGTAGTATGTTTGTTATGCAAGTAGGTCAGTATAGTCTTTTGCATGTTGATTGTTTGATTGTATGATATGTCGACATGTTATGTTTGAGGAGTTGACAGTGGATCGACACTAGAGCCGAGAGCCTAGCCTATTTGTATCAGGGTTAGACGCGCACTAGAGCCGTTAACTGTTGGGATGACTAGACATGCACTAGAGTTGTTAGTCATCATGACTAGATGTACACCAGAGCCATTAGTCACTATTTGTTCAAGTAGATCGGTACTAGAGTAAAAAAGTCTTTGTTTGTATGCGTTGTATGTATATTGTGGTATGTTGTATTTCAGGGGAACTCACTAAAGTTTATGCTTATGGTTGTTGATTTAATATTTTTCAGATAGTTCCTATGATTTAGGAAAGGCTTCTGTTTGATTGTACGATGCTCGCATCATTATTTTTTTCAATAGATTTCCGTTGTTATGATATTCAATATATTTTTACACTATGGCTCGATGGTGTTTTGGAATGATTTACAACCTTAGTCCTTTTATGAAGATGTTTTTGAATGATTTACTTATTAATTTAAAAGAAAATTTGGGTTAAAATTTGAAACGTTACACAAATCATCATCGATGTAGTAACCTGATGCCACCTTTAGTTCCTTTACACTCTCACTCACTTTTCTTTTTCCCAATGTCGGCGATGCTCTGACCACCAAACCCAACCAATGATGGCGAAAATGAATAAATAATGTTACGTTAAAAGAAAACATAATGCAAATCGAATCACTATACATGTGAGAGTGCAAATCAATATTAGAGTTGTGGACATGGTTCGTGATTCCACAGTCGCCGTCAACAATTTCTTTTTCGACGAGACCATTGTAGGGAAGGTAGAGATACAGGGGTAGGAAGAGATAAGGGCTAGGATTCAATTATTGGGTAGAGAGGTATTGATTTAACTTTAACGATGGGGAGAATGGTGGTGTTGGAGACCGATGATGACTTTTAGGAAAGAGAGACAATCTCAGATACATAAAAGGTAAAGGAAGGTATGGGGTTGGGGTTTTAGTTGGGGGTGATGTGAGTTTATTTAATGAATTAATTTATATAATAATTAAAACTAAATTACAAAATAAATCAAAAAATAATATTGAGGGTAAAATAGTTATTTTAAGTCATACAAGGACCAAATATGAAACAAAAATAAAATATAGGGATGATCTTATTAAAAAAAGAAGTTAAGAATAAATATGCCGATTACACCAAACTACAGCGACCATTCATGTAATTTACCCTATTTTTTGCGAAAAAGAAGGAGAGCACTTTCTAATTTTTATTGTTTCTTTCTATTTCCTGAAGAAATCGTTTTATCTGCTTTTAGAATCAAATAGATCCCCATAAAAGTCATTCGGCAGTCCCTAATTTAGAAATCGATTTGATTTTGATTTGTATTTGTATTTGTTGATTGATCCGCCACACACACAGTCTGTGCATACACACACAAGAAAGGAATTAAATCTAGAGAAACTGGTTTGAATATACACACAAGGAGGGAAGGAGAGAGATAGATAGATTTGTGTGTGATGATGGAATGAAGACGAAGTTGAAGAAGAAGAGGAAGAGGTTGGAAGATGGGAAGGGCGGAGTTAGATTATAATTATTCGAATAATGGCAGAGGCGGAAGAGGAGTACCCAAATGTTGTTCGTATAAGAGGACCACTGTTATCATATGTTCCATCAACATTGTTGTTGCTCTTTACGTTTTTCAGAATCTTTATACTTCTCTTTACTCCTACTCATATCGAGATTCACACAGCGGTAATTGCTTCAATTTGTTTTCTCCCTAAAATCTCGATTTAGCGTTAATGTATTTAACCCCAGTTCTGAAATTTGTTGCTTATAATCGCCTTTAATTTTTGTATCAAAACTGATCATACTCTTATTCGGTTCAATTCGTGTCTGTTTTACGGAACCTATTTGTAGAGTTTGTTTTTGTTCATTTTGTTGATCATTGCACAACTTAGTGTAGATGAAACCTAGTTGTGAAGTTTTCATTTGTGCAATTAAGTGATCAGTCTGCAATGTTTAGATGAAGATGAAATCTAGTTATAGAGATTGTTTTTTGATTATTTCGCAATCTTCAAAAAGTATAGATAAAACCTAGTCGTGGACTTTGTTCTTTATGTACTTGATTGAGCATTCACAATTTGGGGGTTTATTAATCCCTAGAAGATCCAAGATTTCCAAACTGATTAGTAATAAGTTTGGTATGTGTTCTGGTGTACAGCAGTTACCTACACTCCAGATCAAATTAGAAATATGGAAGAATCAATGCGGATACGAAAGCAATCTGAACCTAGAAAGCTCATTGAAACGGTAAAATTCTTTCTATTTTTTCAATTGTTGAATTTAATTATCCATTTTTTGCTCTGAATTGATGAAGTTTGCAAAATTTTGGTGTGTTTTGTTGGTTAAAGGTTAAACTAATCAAACAAAAAGTTGATAGAAGAGAGGAGGAGGACATGGTTGAATTACCACAGCCATTGAAACAGAAGTTAACTAATGAGATCATAGAACTACTGAGTGGATTGAATCAGAATGGTGGTGCTAACTCAACTTTACAGCATGGTAACTTTATATTCAGTAACTTTTAACTATATGTATCTACACTACACTACACTACTTGTTTTGGACAAATGCTGAAATGAAATAAAAAAACGTTTTTCCTTACAGAAGCAGTTGAAGGCTGGAGGTTGCAAAAACTAAAGGAAGTCAAAACAATTACTAGTGGTCAAAGGAAAACCTCAAAGTCAAATTCAACAATCCTACCAGATGAAGCAGGTCTTACAAAATCTATTAAGTCATTCTTTTCAGCATTTAGTCAAAAAAAAAAAAAAAAAAAAACATAACAAGATCACATGTGACATGTTTATAGGTATTCTTGCAAGAGTGTTGGAGTTCAATTGGACTGAGTTATCACATGAAATTGGGCTTTGGATACCGGTTAATGTCATCAACAATGAACATAATGACAAGCCCGAGGGTGAAGATGATTTTGGTAATTATTATTTATTACATCTTTTTGTTATTTGGGAATTTGAATTTATGTAATAATTGAGTTAAAAAATTGTCAGATGATAGCATCTTAGCTGGGAGGAGGTTGCCTCCTGAGTGTAATACAGAGCTTCATACAGACTATGGTGGTCAAGCAGTCAAATGGGGGTTGACTCATCAGAAAGAAAGTGCATATGAATGTTGTCAGGCTTGTTTAAATCAGGCTAAAAATGCAAGACCTGGTGAAATGAAATGTAATATTTGGGTTTATTGTCCTGCTGAAGAAGGATGTCATTCACCAGATATATACCAACATAAACTTGAAGAATGCTGGCTTAAATATGTAAGTTCTTCATTATCTCTTAAGTTGTTTTTATCTAAGATGTAAAAGTTGAGAATAGTTTTTATATTATTTCCATGATATATGATTATGCAGGCAGAAACGCCGAAAGTGAGCTTTAAGGATAAATATTCAGAAAGTTACAGAAGAAATCATCCGAATGCACCTTTGGTTGTTCCTTGGGTTTCGGGTGTTATAAGTTCTTGAATGATTACAGGAAGCTTTTATTTACAATTTGTCTGAATACCAATCAACAGAGGAACTCATTGTTTGCATATTGAAGGCTTACATCTGTATCTGTATCTGTATCTGTATTTGTTTCTGTATCTGTATGAATGCAGTTTTGGTGACTTGTGCTCTTTTACCTGAAAGTTTTGAACTAATTTGTATTTGTGGACCTTGCTAGTGAAAAAGACTAGAGCTGAAAAGAGAAGGTTAAGATAGTTGGGGCAATGCCAAAAGGCTTTGCTCTTTTTGAGTGTAATTTGAAACATTTTACAAATTGAGAATGGGAATTCATGGTGTTTGGGATTGTTTCTCCAAGTCCTCTGTATAATGATTTATGTTTTATAACTTCCTTATCATTAAGAAATTTGCTGAAATATGAAGTGAAAATCATGTTTTGAAATTTGCATTGATATTTGAGTTGAACGTGCTAAGTAGCAAAAAAGTAGTCAAATGATTATGTAAGTATCTCAATTTGATTGTTGAAATCGAAATAACCACATTGAATAGTCACATTCAAATAACGTGTGTGTGATGTTTCAATAAAACCGTTGAATTTGATGGTATGTTAAATGACGAAGTAAATAAGCCAAATGAAATTACTAAATTTATAGGGTGTCGAGAAATTTGTTGGTAAGTTAGTCATTTTTAATGTATTTATTTGTAATTTTGATGTTTTAGGGACGACTACGATTTGGCTGTGAATAATTTTTCTTTTAAACGACAAATAATAATAATAATTTTTTTTTTCTGAGGGATTGAAGCCATGACCATTTAGTTAGTTCTTAGATTGAAACCTCCATTTTAACTAAGTGGGTTAAGCCCTAACTTGTAATTCCGCTGAACTCAATGGGATTGGTTCATAAGCATTTTAACTAAGTGGGTTAAGCCCTAACCGGAACTGGAATTCAATTATTAATTTTTTTTTACTAAAAACCTGTAAAATACCTAATCGTTGTTAAGGTTCTTTTAAGCAAAATTAAGCAATACCCTCAAAACCCTATATCAATCGATTGTTCTCACAGATTAAAATACCTATTCTTCTTACAATCGTTCGTTTTAACCCTCCTCCTCAGTCCTCATATACGATCTTCTTAACATCAATCTATTATAACATCTTGAAGGAACTGCTCCTCCCCCTTTTTGAAGTTCTGCTGTGTTTCTTGATCGATCAAACAGGTAAACATTATTCTCTCTTGTTGATTTTTGCTCAATAATGCGTATCTGGTTCCTCAATTGCACGAATTGTTGCTGTTAATAAGTGGAATGAGTGATACATAGTTGGTTTCTTAAATCGCACAAATTGTGTATTTGGAAATTGAAAAACCCAATGTTGCTGTTAACGACATAAGAGAAATTGATAATAGGGAAACGAATGCTCGTTTTGTTGAAAGCACGGATTGACAAGAATGAAAGCGATATGAGGGATTTGGTAAATGCATCCCTGTTGGATAATCAGAACCGAATTGAATTTCAAGATAACAACATATTGATTTGAAACCGAGTGATGCTGGTGAGGGCCAAGAGGGAACGAAGGAGGTAGTGAATAGTGAAATTGATGGTTTCAAATTACAACAAGGTTCAAGTAAGAGATAGTTTGCATCCACGTGTTGTAAATGTTGAGGTTAATTTCATGGCTGAATATCTGCAAATATCAAAGAAACATGAGATTCGATAACATGTATATGATATGATGTGGTATACTAAAACTTGTTTGTTATCTTGCAGAAAAAAACTTTTGCATTATCCAACCATGCAATTAGCTAACAATCCAATCATTCAAACTCACTACAACATTCTGAATGTGAAAGAAGATGCAACCCATGAAGAAATCCGATCAAGCTATCGATCAGCTCTTCTCACTTCCCATCCAGATAAGTTACAAAACACTTCCATTTCCAACCACCGAGATCTGGGATCTCAATTTCTCCATATCCAAACAGCTTGGGAAATCCTAGGAGATGTTAAATCACGGGCATTATATGACCAGGAGCTTCGGGTTTCAAGACATGATGAGTTAACTGCAGATGAGGTTGAGTTAGAGGATTTGGCAATGGAAACTAGCGGTGATGTGGTGGAGCTTTTTTATCAGTGTAGGTGTGGTGATTACTTCTCACTTGATTCTTTGGAGTTGAGAGAGATGGGATTTGAAATATTGATAAAAGAAGGTGAGAAGATATTATTACAAGCACATGATGGTGCTTCGGTGACATCAATCTTGCTACCTTGCACTTCTTGTTCTTTGAAAATCCGTTTAGTGATCAATAAAGATACTCGGCCTTAAATTTGTGGCCATTGATTCATGATTTTGATTCAGATAGGAGTCGATTGTAATAAACCATTTTTGAAACCGAGAAGGAGATTATTGTTGTGTTAACATGTGTTGAAGTGAATATAGAATGTATGTGTACCTTATAGGTTGTGATGAAATGAGTTGGATTCTGGTGCTTAATTGCAGCTTGCTAGTCCCCCCGAATTTGGCCCCAACTGGGGTTTGATTCATAGTACTTGTACATGTTTATTTATTTATTTATTTTTATTGAATGCTTTGTTGAGAAGTTTTGAGACCATTTTCCCAACAATTGGTAGTGGAGCTTCAAGTTTGGGGGATGCATTATTTTTAGAGGTTCATAATATGCTATTATGTGGTTATAACTTTGTCTGAACTTTCACATCAAAAACAAATTTATGTCGGTCATATTATATTATAGGGTGTCTTGGTTTTAGAGGTCCATAGTGTGTTTTGTGGTTGCAACTGATCATGATAATCCATATCATTTCCATTTTGTTTATATTTAGTCACTGGATTTTTTTTCGTGCTTGATTTACCACTGAATTATTTGAAATTGTTCATATTTTACTCTTTATGATCGGTTACAACCAGTCATAAGGGTAAAATGTGAACATTTCAAATAATTCATGGGTAAATCAAACACGAAAAAAAGTTCCAGTGGCTACATATGAACTAATTGAACGTTTGTTACCCTTTCAAGTCATTATCTCTATTTTGTAATCATCTCTTAGTTTATTTTGCTTATTGGTAGCAATTATTTAGATTAATAATTTTGATTTCGGTCACTATGATTTGTTTTGTGTTGTGTTTGTAAGGAATATTACATAATAGAATGCATATCACATAACCATGTTTTAGTTCATTATTTTAATCTTAGTCAATAAGATAAACTTTTAACTAGAGTTTCTTTATTTATGTATTAGTGAAATGCAAACCCACAAAAATGAAATAATCAGTAGAGTTTTACAAAGGCAAAAAGACACCTATACGAGCAATAAAACAAAAAAAAAATAGATCGAAAATCAAAAGGAGCATGGTGAGAAGTACATATATAACCATACAAATAGAAAAGGTACATACAAGTAATAACTAAGAAGAAAAGTATCGTCAAAACAAGTTGAAAGTAAAAACAATGAAAACTAGGCAAAATGCACAATGTAAAAGCAACTAGCACCTAGACTACTCATGTACTGCTCCACGACCTTGATCTTATGCATCCACACTCTCTAATCAAAGCTCGTGTCCTTGTAAAGAGAAAAACCTCATTCAAAATTAACATTACCTTATCTTCAAACTTCTTTATCATACATTATTTCTTCCTCGCACAATCTACAACGACCATCTCCATCCTCTGGATTGAAAATTGCTGTCTATGTCCTAAGTATATCTCTGAAACTACCACAATCTTTGTTTCTTCTATTTCTATGTGATTAACGTCGCTTCTATTGTATTTATAAGTATTGTTTCTAATACCTTACACAATAAAGATATATCACACGATTACTACAACATCCTCACTTTTGTGACCTTCATTTTTATCTTGTGCTCGTTCTTAATAACATTTAGAACCATTTACGGGATATAATGCCTTGAAAGGGTAACTAACTTTCAGTTTTGTTCACATTTAGTCATTAAATTTTTTTTCGTGCTTGATTTACCCCTAAATTATTTGAAATTGTTCACATTTTACCCTAATGATCGGTTATAACCAGTCATAAGGGTAAAATATGAACAATTTCAAATAATTCAGGGGTAAATCAAGCATGAAAAAAAATTCAATGACTAAATGTGAATAAAACTGAAAGTTCGTTACCCTCTCAAGTCATTATCCTTGAATTTTATGTTGTTTGTTTTGTAAGGAATATTGTCTTTGAGATAGGGATAGGATGTCTAAGTTCAAGAAAGTTTCCTAAGGTTTGATATATAGAAATTTAGTGGAATGATTCAAGTAAGGGATGTGCTTATTAGTTTGGGTTTTACAAGGCAAAGAGGGGGAAAGAGACCAGAAGGTAGAAAATGTTCTTGGCAAACTCTTGTTAGAGAAAAAAAAACTAGAATGTAGTACTATACTTCATAAGGTATAGGAAAAAAGACCAGAAGGTAGCAACCATATTTCATCATAAGTTATGGTTTTGATGTGCATGAACGATGATATTTGATGTTGATGATTGATGAACTTTGGGGTACGCCGAACATGAAAGTGGTATTATATATTTTCCAACAAATTTTTGATACGTGCTAAATGATGTAAAACTCTTAAAATGAGTTGTTTTAAGTGGTGATATTCTTTTATGATAAAAGTATAATAGTTTATGGCTTGAAAAGTATGATTCTCGGTTTCGGTAGTATTTTTTTGATGTGGTTATAGTTTTCTTGTATTTTATTGAAGGTGGAGATAGTCAAAACTTTCTTCCCTAATGTGAAGAGAATGATTTTTTCCCACATTGGTAGAGTGTAAAAATATGAAGTGGGCTTGATGTATATAAAAAGAGTCGAGGGTTATGTTGTCAAAGTGCTATAATCATATACAAGCATTTGATTTTTTTTTTTTATTTTTTTTTTTGATATGCAGAAAAATATCATTAAATCTTTGGGGAGTGTGAATGTCATTGGAGGGTTGACTTGGGAGTTTATTATATTATGTCGTTGTAATGGTTTTTTATATACTGATTTTTTTCCGAGATCCATAAATTTTTCTTTAGGTTTGAAGTGTTTTTATGTGTTTTATTTCTATATTATTTTTTTTTGTGCTAACCTTGACAAAAAATCTCATTCCAAGGTATCTAGGCATGAGTTCTGCACGCCATTCCAGATATGGTACACTTTGATCACTTCCTTTGTAAGGTCTTGCCACGTGTACAACTAATGGTTTTTCAAAAGTTGCTCCCTCCCAAGCACAATCCATTCGATTTTCAGGACGAGTATTCTTACTGATTTGGGCATCGTTTAGCATTGCTAAAGTAATCTATCTTCATCTACTTTGCACCCAAACATCACCAATTAATTAAAACCAACACGTTGATCAAAATTTGGAGACTCAGGGTTCTAAGGGAACCATTATTACATCCAAACAAAACAATGAGAATTCAATTTGTTACTACTTAGAAACGAAATCCAATAAGAAGCAACACATCACCAATGATTAATTTCACATTCTTTGATTGCACCAAACCGACTCAGTTCATTCTATATCTTCTTCTTGATAAATCCAAGCAACAAGACCGATATTACGGTTATTTTCCCCTTATATGCAACTTTTGTCATAACTAATTTTTTGGACTTTGATGGTCCATGTGGTTTGGTTTTGTTTGGATTTTTGACCCACAGATCAAATTAAAATAACAAATTTATCCTTATTGATAATTTTTATTATTTATAAGACTATTTAATATATTAAACTATATAGACCCTACCACTGCCCCCCAATTGACTTTGGCTTCCCTCTCCTTTTCCTCTGTGATCATCCTCCTCCCAGCTGCTCCTTTCTTGTTCCCTTTCCCTTTCCCTCCTTCTTCTCTTCTTTTTTTCATAACCTACAATATAAACCCACCGACCTTAGATAAGAAAACTGATATTGAAATTGTAAAACGATGTCGGTTCCAGAATTGTCGATTCTTGACCGATTCCGCAGGCAGTTATCCGGCCTTGATGATCAACCCTACTTAGCATCAGAACCAAATATACTATTAAAAGAACTTATGTGGCCTAAAATCAACTTTGGCCATGCAGAGGTTTTAACTCTCAACTATGCAAACTCAATGTTTGTTGCACATATAGTAAACTGGTTGAGCCAACTTTGTAAATGAGATAATATTAAAAACCTTCCCATGCATCCTCAAATCCCTACCATTCACTTTCAGTTTTCACATCTCTTTTCCTGTAAGAAATGTATAACTACGGGTTTTTCATCTTTAGTCCTAATCTTCTTTACCCGTTGCCTAAAATCGACGACCAAACCATTTTGCTACCGAAAATAACCGATAATGATGTTTAAGTCCCTGAAAGCAATAAAAGGCGAGTTACGGAGGAAGGAATTCATCCAATATTCACATAATATACAACCATTTCTCTACCAATCACTGGTGGTAACAGTAAAGTCCTTGAAACCCATAAAGGGTGATTTAAGGAGGAAGAAATTAATCCAAGATTCACGAACTATACAACCATTTTGGTGTAGATCACCGAAGGTGACAGTTAAGTCCCTAAAAACAATGGAGGTGAAGTTACAAAAGAAGGAATTGACCCAAGATTAACGAAATATACAACCATAGTCCCTGAAAACTATGAAGGCAGAAGTTATGGAAGAGGGAATTGATCCAAGATTCATGGCTGTTAATTGATGTGTATAGTATAGGGGGCTCTTTGTAATATGTGCACTTATATATATTGATATATTACTGCTACCCTAATAAACGGGTTTTCCACAATATTCAATATGGTATCAAGCCAACTAAAAACTCTAGGTTATTTTCATACACTCTGCATACGAACGTCCAACATCCTGGATCATTTTTTTCTGGTGAAGTTGCAGTTCTTTTTTCTTCTCCTGCCAAGATCAACTCAGCCTGATCGATCTCTGCTGTTTCATTTTGCACTCGAGATTTAGTCTGCTGTCAACATGAAGAGAATTTGCCTCTTTCCCGCCTTTTCCTGCTATCGCTGCTATCCACCGGAACACAAAGGACGTTCATTTGCCTCTTTCAGCGGGTACCCCTCTCTCCCTTATTTTTTTTATCTCGATTGTGTTTTTTTATCCTTCTTTAGGACAAATGACATCGGCATCGGGTAGCAGCAGCACTGTCATGCCCATTGCTGCACAACTGGTTTTTGCCCTAACCAATGTTTACTCTCAGTTTAGCTTTAAATTGTCAGCCAATGGGTCCAAAAACAAACTTTGGAAGAAAATTTGTAACGTCCCAAAAATACTGACATAAAATTTTCGTTTTTCGATTATTAAATCGTTAATACATAACATCTCCATAAAACCAAGCTTATCAAGATTTAGCAAAACATCATTAAATCAGAGTAATTCACAGAATGCGGAAACATGTGGTGTGTGCTCTGCAATCATCCTGAGCTCTTCCATTTGAAAACCGAAGCACTTGAAACATAAAACTTGAAACATAAACTGAAAACCATAAGCACAAAGCTTAGTGAGTTCCCCAAGATACCAAACATCACACATACATAAATCACATACTGGGCCCCCGCCCTCCATCGGGTCTCGCCCGGTCTCGAGTCCCACTCGGCCTTGGGCCCCACCCGGCCTCAAGCACTGCTCGGATTACAGATCTGTCAATTACCAGGC